ATATAAAATAAATAAAATAAATAAACTAAATAATATATATAAACTAAATATAATATAAAATATATATGCTCCAAAATATATAAATGTTATATATGTTATATGTATAATATTTCATGCAGTAATCATTCAACCAATCAGATTATAGTTTTTTATTAATTTGGTTATTGGATCTGATTTTGTAATTCTGTGATCAGAAATAGATAATCTATATTTCATTAAAACTGTCTCAGTGAGATAATTTGAATAGTGATGATTTTATCAAATTCTGTCTAGTGGTTCAAAAGTTATGGTCATTTTTGTAGGTTAACAATATATAACTAATATATTTATTATTATTTTTATAAAGAACAAAGCAATAGCATTACCAACTGAACCATCTATGCATCTGTTATTTGCATATCAGTCAAAAAATTCAATTTACTTCAACATTACCTTTATTTTCAGTATCATTATAAGTATTACTATCTTTATTATTATTATAAGTATCTTCACCTTTGGTATTATTGCAAACACCATTATTTCTAGTATCATTACAACAAGCACTTTTATCTTTAACATTATTACAAATACTTTTAATATTTTCACCTTTAACATTATCACTAGTATCAGATTTATTGCAACCTAATCTAATGTAACAATTCAATTTTTTATAGCAATCAGTTTATTCTGAACAATATTATATTCTATTATTATTTTATAATTTATTTATATCATATTTTTCTTTTCAAATTTATAGATTACTTTAAATGCCTATTCAGCCATTATAATCGATTATTAAACCTACCATTCAAGATTTTTTTAAAATATGTAGATGAATGTGAAGATACTGAAGGTTATTATTAAGAATTTTTATTAAGCTTCAAACAACAAAAAATCTCTATACAATTGATTTCTAAGTTATCAAATGAAGACTTTATAAAATGTAAAATCAATACTGTTAGTAAATAACAAATTCTTTATAAATATGCTATAAGATATAATATGCATTTTGTATTATCAAATAATATATTATCTGTTAAAAAAATATTTACTTATAACTAGTTATATTAAAAAAACTATTAGAAAGTGATAAGGTAATTAAAGAATATGAAACAAATAATAGATATTTTGAATCTAAACAACTTTCTACAAAGTACTGATGTCTTTTTAAATAACTTTTCATAGATGAAAAGACTAATTCTATTGGATTGAAGTCTGGTGAATAAAGAAAAAAAAAATTCTACTTGTATACTAAATGCATTTAAATATTCAAGTAGTCTGTTATTATAATGTATTCTTGCATTATCAAGTATTAAAACACTTCTTTTATGTAGAAATAAACTCATCTGTGACAGCTAAAAAATAATTAAAAAATTATTTATTTGTACAAAAAAAATAATTATTATAATTCATACCACTTGAATAATTATAAATTTTTAAATCTTGTCTTTGTATAACTGTTTTCTATAATACTAATGACAATAATACTATTCAAAGTAAGTGCAAATAGAATTGTATAACATTTACTATAAAGAAAAACTATTTTTTTAACAGCTTTGGTGTTTATTTTAGAATAATCATATCTTCTAGCAATGGGTTCATTCATCCTTAGAAAATTTATCTAAAAAAATTAACTAATCACTTTTATATTGAAAACTAATATGCACTATAAAGGCACTACAAAGTAGTTCATTATATTTTTTGACTGCTTTATATAACTAAAAATAAAATATTAAACATTAGTTTATGTAGATTATACTTGTATAAATTATGTAAATAAAATAATTATTATTACAAATTTTCATTCTAGTTGATGTCATCTGATTGTATAATAATCAAGATATTATATAATATAACTAAAACAAAATGAAAAAATAAAAAAATTGAAAAAGTTTACAATCTTAAACCTTATTATAAAAATCAAACTTTGGATTTCTAAAATAAAGTTTTTAGTATCAAATTTTATATATAAATAAAACCTTTTACTCTAACCTAAAACTAACTCTAATTCTTAATTTTTAATTTAAAAATTTTATAATACTGTGTAATATCACCCAGAGTAAAAATTGGTTATAAACTAAAATAAATACCTTTTTTCTTGTTATTCCACAATAAGCAAGCAAATGTAACATAATAGAAATTAAGACACTTTTACCAGTTTAAGTTTTAATTTGCAAAACAATTTCATCAAGATACAAACTTGGATTTTCTTGAATAATGCTTTGTAGTATCTGTTGTTTTAATACAAATTCAAGATAGTTGTTAAAATGGATAATATAAGTACAATAAAAGTCTTACATTCATATCATTTTGATTAAAGGTTTTATGACATCCAGGTATTTGTCTTCAAGGATTAGTTACAGTTCCCCATTTTTTATATATTTACAGTACTTTGTTTATGAAACTTTTACTAATATACAAATGATTTGCAATTTGCGATGTTGAATAATAATCATAATGTATATAAATAATACACCATTTCAAGTCATTACTGCATGTGAAAACCATTGTTAAGGAAAATAAAAATCCGAAGTATTGAAATAGACACTTGATATATTTTATTTAAAAAATCCTTAAAATCCTTATGATTTTTGAAATCACAAAAAATCAGTAAAATCTCCGATTTTCGCACGACATTGTGATCTGCAGCGACCACATCTTTTTGCAAAGCACAATAATACATATAAGAGAATTAAAAGAGAAAATTTAATTTTTGAATAATTATAATTACAATAAAACGGTTTTTAAAATTTTTAAAATAACATCTACTAAATTTATTCCTTAAATATAATCACTGAAAACAGTTAGCTATTGACTTGCACCGAATAAAGTCCTTTCAACATTGTCATGCCTTTTTACTAATCTAATTTGATAATCTTCAGGCCAAACAGTAATAGCAAAATGGGCTTTATCTAAATTAATTGGTATTGGTTTACCATCCTTATCCAATGGTGATGCATTTTCTATTCTAAAACACCAAAGAAGACGAGAGACACCTAATAAAAGTTCTCTCTCGGCCTATTTTTTTAAAATTCATAAAATAAAATAAAAAGTTTATAAATACTTTAAACCAAATATTTATATAAATAATTTAGATCAATAAAATCATTATTTCAAAATATTATACATGCCATATGAATTCCAGTGCAAAGCCTTCTTCCTGCTCCAAACCCGAAATGATCTCTAATTTGATAATTTCCATTTGCTAAGGCTGCACTACTTTCCATAAATCCTAAAAATCTTTCAGGCTTAAACTCTTCGGGATTCTCATATCTTTTTTCATCCGTGTGAATTCCATATTGATTTAAAATCACCACAGAATTTGCCGGAATATGATATCCATTATATTCGTCATCCTCTTCAATGCCATGAGGTACACCAAGATAAATTGGTGCACAATATCTTTGACCTTCTTTAATTATAGCACGTATGTAAGGAATATTTGGTTCATCAGAAATTTCTGGTAGACGCGATTGACCGACTACTTGATCAAGTTCTTGATGGGCTTTAGACTGAACCTGAGGATTATTGGCTAAAGCAGCAGTAAGCCATGTTAAACTTGCTGCAACAGTGTCCTAAAATTTTTATATAACAATAAATTTTAAGAGTATGCAAAAAAGAAAAAAAAATTTTTATAATATTTACAGTTCCAGCAGCAAACATCGCATCTAATAGATAAATAATGTCCAGTTCATCAATGATACCTTCGTCCTTCTTATAAAGTAAATTTCTAACAACACATGACTTCCTTTCTTTGTCATCCACAACTTTCTTAATCAATTTTCTGAGAAAAGCTTCAATGTTATCTCTATTATTTATTATTTCATTACGTAAATTATTCGGAAACCATTTCAATATTGGAAAAAATTCAGGTAATCTATTTGTTATCTTAACTATTTCTAAATGTTTTCCCATTATATCTTCAAATTCTCTATAAAATGGATCGTCGGTACTTTCTGTACGCTTATTTAAGCATAAATTGGACATAACATTTAAAGTTGTAAGTAGAAAATAATGTTTAGGATAAAAACCATCTTTTGATGCTTTACAAAAGTTTTGCATAAGAATACGAAATTCATCATCGAATAATTTAGAATTTTCTTTTACACTACGTTGGTCCAGAATTTCATGCACTATTTTTCAAATCGGTGGAACTTCAAGTTATAAAAAAAATAGCAAAAAAAACAAAAAATTTAAATTCATCCAATTACTTACTAATAGTTTTAAGCATTCTATACCTTTCGTTATAAGGACTACTGATATAACTCTTTCCTCTGGTCAATAATTGAAAAGTATAATAACTTGGCAAGCGAGTTGAATATGTTTTGCCACCTATTAAAAAAAAAAATTTCTTCGATTGAGTTAACATATATAATAATAAGTTAATATAAAATTTTAAATTAGCTTACGCTTTTGTAGAAGGTCAGAAACCACCTTATCACTGGTCAATATAATCCAATCTTGTTGGCCCATGTGTACGGTATAAATATCGCCCAAACTTCTTGCCCATTTGGTAAATCTATTTAGATTAATGTTAATAATAATGCTATTCAATTAATCTTATAAATATATGCGTATTTTTCTCTTACTTCTTATGTGGCTCGTGTCCAATTTGAAAAAAATGACCTACAAGACAAATATATAATAATAATGATAAATATATTATTTTTTTCATAATAAGCCGTATAGTTCACATAACTATCTAAACATTATATTTTGCTTATTCCAAACTGCTGTGTATTTTTGCATTATTTTTAGGTATCCAACATAAAGATATAATTTTACCATTGATTTTTAAATCATATGACATCAGAAAATTTTTAAAAAAGGTTAAAATCGACTACAAGCTACAGGGTAATTGTAATCAATTGCAATCACTTAAAAAAAGTGAATATTACCGATTGTTATCGATTATTATTGATTATAATCAATTTTTTAAATGATTGCAATCGATTACAATACCCTGAATCTTGTAATCGATTTTAATTTTTTTAAAAAATTTCCTGATGGAACCTAAAATTTGGCTTTATAAACGTATATAAGTTTTAATTTGCATTCATATAAAAGCTTTGAATTTATTAAGGCTTAAAATTGGTGCAATTGATGACTGAATCTGGCGAAATTTCTAAATAAAGCATTAAAAGTTCCAACCTTGATTGTTATATACTAACCAAAATAAAATATGCTACCTGATGGAGAAGGGAGTTTTTTAAGTCCTCTCGGAGCATTTGGTCTGAAGATATAATAACACACAAGACAAGCTAGCAAGAAATAAAACAGAAACATCTTTTTCTTTTGTTTTAAGAGAAATTTGTAATTTTGTCTCGAATGTTGGAAAGATTTATAAAAAAATTTGCCTTATACAAAGGGCCACCTAAGTTACTAAATATACAAATTAATAATATAAAAAAAGAATCGCACAATATTTGTGCTAGACGCGTAAAAAATGTCTAAAAAAGCGCCATTCTGTCTAAATTATGTCTAATTTTGATATTTCAAATAAAATAAAATTATACAGAATACTTTTTCTGGCATTATTTATACGTCGAACACTATTAAACCGGGTGTTTGATAAGTCCCTAAACAGGACTTTTTTTCTATCTCCGCTAATATTAAAGCTGTTTATATACGAGTGCCCCCAAGAGAAATGGGAACCTCGGCAATTTAAATATTACTGATTAATTATAGAGTCCACAATGATGCAGATCGGGCTTTAAATTATACATACAACGTGATTCATACTAAATTTTTACATTAATAGCGATAAACATTTTATATTAACGTTATCGAAATCCCGATCTACATTATAATAATCAGTAATATTCTTAAATTGCCGAGGTAGCAAAAAATGTGACTCATCAAACACCTGCTCCTTTACCGGAATTTTGATAATCACGTTACCTGATGGCGATCGTAACCAACTTACTTTTTTAAATAAGAAAATTAAACTCGGTATAGTAAGTTAAGTTGTATTTAGAATAATCACGTTACCTTATGACGATCTAGCCTTTTTAATACGAAAATTAAACCCAGCGTAGTAAATAAAGTTGTTCAGAATAACTGATAAAGATTTACATATACTTTAAAATTTTACTAAATCACATTTAGCATTTTTGAGTAAAAAAAATGAACAAATAAAAAAATTTATTAAGTCGACACATTTTCAAATCCTATTATATAAAGGTTGTTGCTCATTTTCTCGAAGTCCATTTTTTTGAAATGTCATTTTACTGAAGTCTTAATATCGACAATCCATTTTACCACCAGGACAGAAATAGGTCTGTGTCATTTCACCGAATATTAATTAACCGACAATTTTATTTAATCAACAGTCATTTCGCCACAAAAGTAATTCTGATCATTTTTGTTAGTGTCAGGTTTAGAATTAGATCAAGGTAAGTGTAATTTTTAAAAAAAAGATGTTGGTGAAATGAGAATAATTTTTATCAGTGAAATAAACTTATCAGGTAATTGGCAATGATGAAATTATATAGATCTATGTCAGTCCTAGTAAATGGATTTTTGGTAGGGATTGCATGTGATTTAAATCATGATGTTATAAATCATTAATTTTTGATTTAAATCAATATAAAGCAGATTTAAATCTTTTATTATATAATCATTATGATTATTTGAATTGCATAATTTATTGTTTTGATTAGTATTTAATAAAAATAATATTTTAAAGTGTAAAATCAAAGTTAACTTAAAAATTATATCTTATAAAAGATCTGCTTTCCAAGATGCTCATTCACAATTGTTAAAAATTACAAAAACTAATAAGCTTGATTGAAAAAAATCTCATCAAAGATGTATTTATTATAAAGAAGATATAATTGATTTAATTATCATTCAAAAGATCATTTATAAGATGTAAAAATTTTTGCAAGACATAAAGAATTTATTAGATTTTATTACTTCAAAAGATCAAAAAAATAATATTTAAGATTTATCAAGTTTAAATAAAAATTTAAAGATGTAGCTTGTAAATAAACTAAGTGTAGATTAAAATTTAGTTAGTTTTTTTATTTATAGCATTACTTTTATTGTTATTGAAAATCTTTATTAGATTGAATTTTTAAAGATATAAAATCATTCTATTTAAATTCTAATTATCAAAGTTTAGCAAACTATTTACTTGAAACTGAATATCAAGCTGAACAACAAAGAATAGATAAGATTCAAGAATATGTATTAAATATAACTTTAGTATTTGATAAATGATCTAATATTAGATATAAGTTAGCTTTAAACTTTATTTTTTGTTTACTAAAACTGATCTTTTATAATATAAAATATACAAAATCTAAATTATTTACTGCTAAATTTATTTATAATGAGTTCAAATTATTATAGAATCTGTTAATCTTTCTAAATTTATAGGTTTTATAACTAATAATACCAATATTATATGTACTGTTTGGAAAATTAAATAATGACTACCTATTATTTAATTTGTTTAAAATATAGTGCAAATGTTGTAAATCTTTTAGTAAAGGATATACTGAATTTTGATTGAGTAAAAAAACTAATAAATTATACAAAAAAATTATAAATTTTTTTTATTTATATTATTTAGTAGAGTCAATCTTATTAAATTAATAAGATATAATTATTTTGGTACAACTTATAGAAACTTAGTAAGAAAGATGTTTGAATGTCCTTTAATCTATTTTTAGATGCAAATTGAAAATTCAAACATCTTTTGTATAATTATAAGTTAGTGCAAAAATTGTATATAATCTTTAAAAACAAATTTTAAATAATCAATTATAAAAAGAACTAAAAAAGTTAGTATCTTTTTTAATACATTTTGTTAAACTTATATATTTATTTAAATCTGATCAATCTTTACTTTTATATGTTTATTTCAAATAATAAATTATCTGAAAATTTGTTAATAATTTGCATAATCTGAACTTGGATTTTAAAATAAAAGTTTTTGATATAGTTAACAAAAAGTTTAAATATGTATTTTACTTTGCAATAGCAATTATAAATCTTTTGGTTTCTAAGTAATATTTAATTATTTTAAAATTAATTTATATTTATAATACTAACTATAATTTTATTTTAGTTTTTATAAAAAATCCTTAGACTCAAATAATTTTGAAACTATAATTATATCATATTTTAAAAAAGTTTATATATTTAAAATTATAACATATATAAGCATTATAAATTATTTATTATTTATTTATTTATTTTTTTTAATTATGATATTATTTATTATAATTTATGATGTATTTTAAAAATATATGCAAAAATTAATAAATTTTTTAGTTTATTATTTTGAAAGTCTATTAAATATTTAAATTCAATAAATTGATAAAAATTAAATTATTCAACCAACTTTTGTTATAATTGTACTTGCCTGTTAAGTTCTTTAAAATCTAACTTCTTTAGCTGTTGCTAAAAGATATTAAATTTATTTACAATAAATATTATACATATTTGAATAATAATCAAGAAAGAAACTTATAAATATTTTCAAAATTTAAGAATATTAAAAAGCATTAATAAAGATATATAATTTAATAATAATGATAAAAATAATAATTAAATATATATTTATTAATATATTTAGAAATATAAATACATTTAAGTAATATTTAATAATAAAAGCTACTGAAATTTGAATTAAATATATATTGTTAGAAAAATTTTGGGTTTACAGAATACAAGATCAAGAAAATATAACAGATTGTTGCTTAAAAATACCAAATGTTGCAAAATGTTACATTATAGAAAAAGTAGAATAATTTGGTTAGACTAAAGTATAAGTGCAAGGTCTTGGTTTATCATTAAGATAGTTTTTATTACTATTATAACTATTATTAATAATTACTATTTTACTGACTAACTCTTTCTATTACAACTCAAAAAAGATGAATTTATATACAAAAATAACACTTTACAAAAAAGACAATATAGGGTTTATTTTTTTACTGGACTCAATGGTTTCAGATCTGTTATAATGATCAGGATCTTGAATGGCCTTTACAGCACAAACAGTTAGCCTAATTTGGCAGATCTACTTCAATAAATGCTATAGTTTCCAATTCTGTTTTGTTACAGAATTGTTTCAGTTGTACAGCTTAGCTTTTAAGTTTCTTAAGATATAATTAATGCATAATATTTGGCTTATTTTAGAGGCATTCTTGCTATAAGAGGTCATAGATTGGGACAGCACTAGGTTAGAGCAATTATGGTATCCATTTTGCTCTTAACAATATATATACAATAGTTTAATAATAAAATTGCTGGCATTTGAAATATATATATAATATGTAATGTTTTTGATAATAAAAATTATCTAAATTTAAATTAAATAAACATATATTATATAATCAAGTTTAAAATTAGTCTGCATAATTTAAATTATTTGTAAATTATTTTTAAATTATAAAAATTAATTTAAATTATTAATTTTGTTATTTTTAATTTTTAGTATTATAATTTTAATAATATAG